AAAAAAAAGTAATTTTTTAAAAAAGATTTATTTATTATTTGAGAGAGAAAAGGCGAGAGACCAAGAGCTCATGCACAGTGGGGAGGGGCAGAAGAAGAGAGAATCTCAAGCTGACTGTCTCTGAGGGCGCTGAGCCTGACTGGGGGGGTGGTGCTCAATCTCACGACCCTGAAATTGTGACTTGAGCTAAAATCAAGAGTTGGACACTTAACCAACTGAGCCACCCAGGCATCCCAAGAAAATAATTTTTTAAAATGATCTTTCCTTAATGCTTCTTGAAAGTATTAAGTACTTGGTTACATATGTTTCTCAAAAAAATACTTAAAGGAAAATGTTTTAGGTGTTATATTTTTAATTTAAGAGAAGAACATGTTTCTATCTCTGACATAAATTTGTAACTACAATTCATTCTGATTTATATGCAATGGCAAAAAGCCATGAAATGAGTCATAAAACATTATATGTATGTGTTTATGCTTTATTTGTTTATATTCTGTTTTTCTCCATTTCAATTAAAAGCCGTAAAGGTAGGGACCATTTGTATGTTGTTTGGTACTATGTCCCTAGCACCTAGAAAAATGCCTGGCATATAGTAAGTGCTATTAAATTTTTATTCATGACAAGAACTATATTAGATACTTTATATTGATTATATTATCTAATTTCATTTGCAAAAATAAATCAGGCAGATATTGTTCTCACTTTACAAAAGAATAAGGATCATAGGATTAAATAATCCAGGGCAACAACAGTTGGTACAAAAATGGCAAAACCAGGCCTACCAGAGTATAAGCCTCTGAATATGACCACCATGTATCCTTCTTCTTTTCCCTTACTCTGTCCTTCGAAGCTGGAGAAGGTTCTCTGAGCCTTAGTTCTTCCATGTGTAAAATGGGTATAAAAATGCCTTCCCAATCTACCTCACAGTGTTACCTAAGGCTCAGAGAACAACAAATGTGAGACACTTTTCAAATAATATCATGTTAAAACATAAATTAAAAATATTAGTAGAATAAGAATGACTATTCAGGGGAGAAGTTACACACTAAAGAGGTCTTGTTCACTAAGAAATAAAAACAAGCTATCTCCAAGTTCCTAAATATTCTATTATTTATATTATTCAAATGTAGTTTCATATTTTCACTTCAAACAAGGAGAAAGCAGCTATATTCCTTCAGTTAATTCTTGTCTTCTCTTCCAACAAGAAGTCAGTTTACTAACTGAAGATTTCAACCCACTAATCAAACCACAAACTATATATATCCCTATATGGCCATGAATAATGGGTTTTATGATATGTAAACACCCTTTTAATTATTTTTCATATTATGAAAGCAGTAAGATAGGTAGGAGTCCAGACGTAGTAGCTCAAATTAAAAAATAATAAAATGAAATGAAAGTTACCAGTTCAAGCTGCTGAATGTCCAAGAATTTTTGTTTTATAAGTTAACATATTCAATGTCATTGAATAAGAATTGTAAGATTCCAATAAATCTCTAGCCCTCATCTATATCTGTAGCATAAGAGAGCAATCTGGCTATGACATCTATCATTCTACTGGTCAGGTGGGTATTCTCCTCTTTATTCACCACTCCCTGTTCACTGTCCCCTACCAAAAAACTTTTTAAAGACATAAGTAGGTTTATGTCTTAATGGAAAATCTTTTACTTTTCACTTTTTATCATTATCATTGGTCTACAATGGAACAAATAAGTCATTTGTGGGCTGTAGAAAGTTTTATCTTGCCTTAAATGTATATATATTTCAAAATATTCTTTAACATCTAGAAAATATAAAATGAATAAAATGTGTGAAATTCCAATTTGTACATATGTGAGGATTTTACCTGCACACACTGTTGATTTAAAATGAAAAGTACTGCAAGTATTAAAAGAGCTGAAGAATGTATCTGAATTTCATAAGCATCGTAACTGTAGAGTTCTGTTCTAGAGTTCTCAGGAAATTTATTATCTAAGAAGGGACAAGATGCAGGGTGTGCTGTAGTACACCTGAAAAGTACTGTCTTCAAGTTTCCTCTCTATTCCTGTCTCTGGGATGCTTTTAAAAAAGCTGGAAAATAAGTGATATATAACCAATACTGCTTACAAAATCTAGTAAACATCATATGTAAATAACTCTAAACAGAATGCTCTTTTAAGACTAAGGTGACAAATCTTAATTTTAATCTCTGTGCATTTAGCATTATGTCCTTCAAGTACACAGAAAGTTTAAGGAGAAAATTTCAATTCAAGGTATAAAACTCGTTTCATTACATATAAATTTCACTAAGTAGGTCAAGAAAACAAGCTAAGACAATCAGCTGTGGTATTTCAGATGCAGAATCTTCATATAAATTAGTGGATCACAGTTGTTATTTACTCCATAAAAAGGAAAATGCAGAAGTCAACTGAAGACATCATGCTCAGTTAAGTTGTTGTAGAATATGTAATATTAAGGAGTATATAATATCTAAAAATGGTTTTTTGAGAGTTATAATTCAATCACAAATGGCTATGTTGAGGTTATGAAAAATCACAAAACCAGCAATATTTTAGTTCCTTATTCCTTTCACTAATAGCTGAAGATCTATGAACTATTATCAAATGCTGAATTCCCATTTACTTTTTTTTTCAGTTTGTAACTCATTTTTTCCCATATGCTTTTTTTTAAAGTTTTTATTTAAAATCCACTTAGTTAACGTACAGTGTATACTAGTTTCAGGTGTACAATTTAGTGATTCAACTCTTTCATACAACACCTGGTGCTCATCACAACACCTGCACTCCTCAATTCCCATCACCTATTTTCACCCCCCCACTCCCCTTCCCTCTGGTAACCACCAGTTTGTTCTCTACAGTTAAAAGTCTAAAGTGAACACTACATCAAAAACTAATGATGTAATATATGGTGATTAACATAACATAATAAAATAAAAAATTTTTAAAAAATGTCTAAAGTGAAATAACAACTCTTAAAAAAAAACAAGTACTGGGGTGCCTGGGTGGCTCAGTTGGTTAAGCATCTGCCTTCAGCTCAGGTCATGATCCCAGGGTCCTGGGATCGAGCCACTCTTTAGGCTCCCTGCTCAGCGGGAAGCCTGCTTCTCCCTCTCCCACTCCTTCTGCTTGTGTTCCCTCTCTCACTGTGTGTCTCTCTCTCTGTCAAAATAAATAAATAAAATCTTAAAAAACAAAAAACAAAAAACAAGTACTATGTCAATTGCCTCTTTACCTTCATGACATCTCTATATGACCGGATGGCTGACACTTTTCTCTTTTCATCTTCTTCATCTTCCAGGCCTTCATCTGCAGCCTCATAGCCTTCATCGTTACTGCCATCAGCTTCCACCGTATTGGCCATGTGATCAATGAGCTGCTCCAAGGGGGGGCTTAACTCCCTTTCTTCATTCTCCTTCAAACCATAGTCCAGTGCTTTATAAATAACAATTCCCAGAGATTCAATAACCTACAGACATTAAAGAAGGTGATTAAAGGAGATGACTAAACAGCTTTACAGAACTAAATGTAAGACATAAAATAGTTAGTATGACACTTAAGCCAGGTTTAATCTATTCCATTTCAGAAACAGGTGACAAATTAGATTTGAGGAGGTATTTAAAAGTCTCACCTATGCATTAAAACAAAAAAATCCCAGGTGGAAATTTTTGGGTGATTTCTTCAATCCAGTATATAACAATACATGAATTCTTTTTGTTTTCTTAGATTTATACTATATACTAAAATCTATATTATCCATTCATATAAAATACTAACCACGTTAATTTTCCAAGTTTCCAAAAGATATTTCTGAGATCAGATACAGCTATCAAAGAACTCTTACACTGGTGTTTATCGAAGTCGATTTCAAAGAAATACCAGGGATCTGAGAGACTGAAAACTCAGTTACTAGTAGCAACTAACTTAAGCTTAAGCAACAACAACAAATAAATCTACTTATATATAGATACACACTGCTCACTGAGTTCCATTTAATTATTGGAAACATATCTCTCACGTGATGCAAACAAATGAAAGACTTTTTCAAACTCTGATTTCAATGTGGTGCATAGATAATCCTCCCTACCCCCACAACTCCACCAATAGTACCTCATGAAATATGAACCTGATTTAGAAACACCGGGTATATATCACTGTCTAGTATCACCCTCACAAATGCTCCAGACTTTTGCCAATATAGGGAATTCTACTTTATTCCTCAACATAGCCTTTCTTTTCTACTCAGAAAAATCACATATAAACAGCCCTTCTGTTTTATTTTGCAATGTTAATGGCTCATTTCACCTTAATTATTTTGTGGGGAAGAACACAGGCAACGAAGCCAAAGATTTAGGATTAAATGCTGACTTTTGGGGTGCCTGGGTGGCTCAGTCAGTTAAGTGTCTGCCTTCAGCTCAGGTGGGGATCCCTGGGAGCCTGCTCCCTCTTCCTTTGTCCCTCCCTGCCCCCCCCAGCTCTTGCTCTCTTGCCACCCCCCTGGCTAACTCTCTCTCTCTCAAATAAATAAATAAAATCTTAAAAAAAAATAATAAATGCTGACTTTTATCATTAATCATTTAGTATTAAATCCTGACTTTTACCACTAACCATTTGACTCAGGGCAAATTATTTATTTTAGTCATGATTTTTCTTATCTGTAAAATGAGTGTCAATGATTATCTACATCTCATGAGATTTTAAGACTAAATGACATTCACATGAATGGAAGTACCTAGTATAGTATCTGACTTACAATAGGTAGAGAGGTAATGTTATCTCCCTCTTTCCTGCCCCTAGGTCTCTTTTTTCCAATGGTTATTCAGGTACCACCCCCGCCCCCCCAGTAAACAAACAGATCTATCCTTTTCTTTATCCCACTTGTAGCCAATGCTGTCTTTTTCTAAAAAGTTGTTTAGGTGGTATCAAAGAAAAGGAAAAGTCAGAAGTTTTAAAGACAAACACAATAGAGTTATTGTCATCATATACACTATAGCCCTTAAAAGCATTCAGGGCATTCACTCAAAAAATCTCCACAAACTGGGTGACAGACATTGGGGAGGGTATGTGCTATGGTGAGCGCTGTGAATTGTGTAAGACTGTTGAATCACAGATCTGTATCTCTGAAACAAATAATGCAATATATGTTAAAAAGAAGAAGAAGAAGAAGAAGATAGCAGGAGGGGAAGAATGAAGGGAAGGATATTGGAGGGGGAGACAAACCATGAGAGACAATGGACTCTGAAAAACAAACTGAGGGTTCTAGAGGGGAGGGAGGTGGGAGGATGGGTTAGCCTGGTGATGGGTATTAAAGAGGGCATGTATTGAATAGAACACTGGGTGTTATACACAAACAATGAATCATGGAACGCTACATCAAAAACTAATGATGTAATGTATAGTGATTAACATAACAATAAAAATTAACAAAAAAACAAAAAAATGAAAAAAAGTGCCCCCCCAAAAATCTCCACAAAATCTGAAATCTATCTTATCAAGTGAAATAATATTTTCTCAACACAAGTTTCAAAATGAATATAAGACTTAAAAATTCAACTTCTGATTTTTAAACAATACTGGTTTTTTACTATTTCTCACTGAAAATACAGAATATTTTCATTGATTTGTATAGTCTGACTTGGAACTCTAATCCCTATTTTCAAAGTTGAAAGGAAACAAAAGAAAAAATAAACAATCAGGACCACATCAAAATAAAAAGCTTTTGCACTGTGAAGGAAATAATCAACAAAGCAAAAAGACAACCTACTTTAGATATTAGATATTTGCAAATGGGATATCCAATAAGGGGTTAATATCCAAAATATATAAAGAACTTCTACAACTCCACATCAAAAAACGGGCAGAGGACCTGAATAGACATTTTTCCAAAGAAGACATACAAATGGCCAACAGATACATGAAAAAAATATTCAATATCACTAATTATCAGGGAAATGCAAATCAAACCCACAATGAGATATCACCTGTCAGAATGTCTTAAATAAAAAAGACAAGAAATCACAAGTGTTGGCGAGGATACAGAGAAAAAGGAACCCTCATGCACTGTTCGTAGAATGTAAATTGGTACACCCACTGTGGAAAACTGTATGGAGTTTCATCAGAAAATTAAAAATAGAAATTACCATACAATCCAGTTATTCCACTCTTGCATACTGACCCAAAGAAAACAAAAACACTAATTCAAAAGGATATATGTACCCTTATGTTTATTGCAGAGTTATGTACAATAGCCAAGATATGGAAGCAACCTAAGTACATTGATAGACAAATAGATAAGGAAGATGTGACCACACACACACACACACACACACAGAGGAATATTATGCAGTCATAAAAAAGGATGAGATCTTGCCATTCCAACAACATGAATGGACCTAGAGGGTATTAAGCTAAGTGAAATAAATCAGACTGGGAAAGACAAATACTATATGAGTGCACATATATGTGCAATCTAAAAAACAAAACAAATAAATAAATACAGAGAACAAACTGGTGGTTGCCAGAGGAGAGGGGGATTGGGGGATGGGTACAATGGGTGAAGGTGAATGGGAGATAAAGGCTTCCAGTTATAGAATGAGTAAGTCACATAAAAGGCATGCCATAGGGGTACCTGGGGGCTCAGCAGGTGAAGCGTTTGCCTTCCACTCAGGTCATGATCCCAGGGTCCTGGGATCAAGCCCTCTGTCAGGCTCCCTGCTCAGTGGGGAGTCTGTTTCTCCCTCTCCCTCTGCCCCCCCAACTCATGCTCTCTCTGAAATAAATAACATCGTTTTTTAAAAAGGCACAGTATAAGGAATATAGTCAATGATATTATAATAGTGTTGTGGTGAGCACAGAATAATGTATATACTTGTGGAATCACTATGCTGTACACCTGAAACTAATGTAACATTGTGTGTCAACTATCAACTACACTCAAAGAATAACAAAAGATGGGCGCCTGGGTGGCTCAGTTGGTTGGGCGACTGCCTTCGGCTCGGGTCATGGTCCCGAAGTCCTGGGATCGAGTCCTGCATCGGACTCCCGGCTCGGCGGGGAGCCTGCTTCTCCCTCTGACCTTCTCCCCTCTCATGCTGTTTCTCTCTCTCTCTCAAATAAATAAATAAAATCTTTAAAAAAAAATAACATAAAAAAGTAAAAATAAATAAAAAATAAAGAAAGAATAACAAAAGATAACACATAAAATTAACCATCACAAGTTTACCCCTTGTGAATTTGGCACTCATACACATCTCCTTAGCCTCCTTAAAGTCCATTCTAATATCCTATCAGGTCTGCTGCTTCAGGATAGTGGGGAACATAGTAAGACTAGTGAATTCCATGGGCACTGGCCCAATGCTACACTTTATTTCCTATCGAGTTCCTTGATCAGAAGTAATGCTGTGTGGAATACCATGATGGTGAATAAGTCATTCTGTAAATCCATGGATGGTAGTTTTGGCAGAAGCACTGCATGAGGGGAAGGCAAATCCATATCAAAAGTAACTCTTCCAGTAAGAACAAAATGCTGCCCCTTCCATGATGGAAGCAGTGCAATGTAATCAACCTGCCACCAGGTCACTGGCTGATCACCCAGGGAAGCAGTGCCAAATTGAGGATTTAGTGTTAGTCGCTGGCTTGATGGCAGATTAGGCCCTCAGCAGTGGCTAAAGCTAGGTCAACCTTGGTGAATGGAAATCTATGTTGATAAGCCCCTGCAAAATCTCCATCCCTGCCATTGTAGCCATGTTCACAAGCCCATTGTGTGATGACAGGGTAGCTGGGAAAGGAGACTGACTGGTGTCCACAGAACCTGTCATCTCATCCACTTGAATATTAAAATACTTCTCTACTGAGGTTACTCTTTGGTGAGTATTCACATGAGACACAAATATCTTTTTTTTTTTTTTCCCCAGAGAAGTCTATCCACATATCTCTTCCCCAGATTTCCTTGTCACCAATATGCCAATCATATTCCCTCTAAGCAAAGTGCACAACCAGGTGTACTTTTCAAAGTTTTGCCCACTGGGAGGATTTCCCTTCAGCACTCTCCTTCAGGGACATCCCCGAAAGGGGCTACATGTTGCAGCTGTCCACTTTCAGGTGGCACCTGCATATTATGCAGAACCATCTGTAAACCAGGCCCAAGTCTTCTATTCTTCTGTCAACTGATTGTAGAACTCTCCATAAGGAAAATAGGTATAGACTAGGAAAGAAAAGGGAGGATAGCAGAAGTGCATTTGGGCAGTGCTTTCAGGGCCTACTTGCACCCAGTCACATACATACCATTCCAAAGGATGATGCAGTGCTGCTATACTCACCCAACTTCATGGCTTGAAGGGTCAGATGATACCCAGTTCATGAAGGGCAACTCAAGTCACATGGTAACTTGGTGGCCCATGGTTAAGTGTTCAGTCTGTACTATGGCCCAGTAGCAGGCCAGGAGCTACTTCTCAAAAGGAGAATTATTAT